GTTTAATTTAGTTAGTTTACTTTTTTACTTTTTACTTTAGTTAGTAGTATATATATATATATATATATATATATACATTAAATATATTAAATGATCCGAATCATTACTAATGAAGCATTGTTTAGCATAGATCACACTTAGAATGTTAATTAATGTCATTACGCATATGCCAAGAGAACACTAGACTTATATTTTAAATCCGATTCTATGAAAGAAGGAAATATGTTTAATTTTTATAAATATGTTGCAATTTACTTATATACCTGTTTATGTATACACCTAAATACTATTGATTAATACATCTATTTAACGTATTTAATAAAATTAGTTGATATTTTTTTAAGATTTAAGTGAATTGATTGAACCACATGAGTTTTGTACAGTTCACATTTATTGAGTAAATAACATGCTTACATTAGTGTAAAGACCAATTCAAAGAAAAGATATAATAAAGCACTGCCCTTAAAAGTTTATTTCATTCACTTCATTATCAATATATAAAAAAATATGATTATCGGAATGCTTGTCATTTGTAATCATCTTAAAACTGCTAATATGCTTATGAAACAATATTTTTTTTTCTTGTTGCTTATAAATCCCACGAGAGCAGCGTATTTTTCCATATGCCATTAGTGAAGAATATAACAGGGGAAAAAATACATTTTTAACCTAATTCTCTTTATTAGTAATAGTATATAATGACGTTTCAAATCTTTATAAGAAATAAGAAAAGAACTTATCAGAAATAAGAGTATGATAGTGATATGAATACACTAATTGTAAGAGTATTACGTATCGAGATAAATATTGTAAAGCACAAATTTAGAAATATTTCTTCAGAGTTTCCTCCATTGCCAATGGTTCATCAGACGGAGCGAATCTTTCCACTGCTTTGCCTTGCTTGTCTACGATAAATTTAGTAAAATTCCATTTAATAGCATTGATCATGAATCCTTCTTTCTTCGTTTTCAGCCACTTCCACAGTGGGTGAGCATCCTCTCCGTTTACATCAATTTTCTCAAACATATCGAAAGTTACATTGTATCGCTTTACAAAATTTACAATTTCTTCAGAGGTGCCTGGTTCCTGGCCAGCGAACTGATTAGAAGGAAACGCAAGGATTCGCAAGCCTTCCTTCTCACTGTACTTATTATATAGCTCCTGGAGCTGCTGGTAATTTGTCTCTGTTAAGGCGCAATTGCTAGCGACGTTAACAATAATGAGCACATGATCACGATATTTTGCGAGCGAGACGTTCTTGCCGTTGATGTCATTAGCGTAGAAGGAATAGATTGAAGTAGCTGATTCCCAATCCGTATCTTGATTAAACTCTGATGACGTAGGACATGATACATCTTTCTCTTCGCATTCTTGTGCAATCGTTTTTGAGGAGACAGCAAGAAGCAGGAGTATTGATGTAATGCCTATAAATAATGCAGCATTAGCATCTTCAAACCTGTTCAGATTGGATAAATATGTATAATCTATTCTTTTGGCTGCATTTTCTTTTCAGTAACACAATGTATTCCATGATTAATTTATTTAGCATATATAAATACACCTCTGTGAAAATTTCTTCAGATTATTTATCAATGTTTATAGAATCTTTTCGTATAACTTCTTTGTTAACATATTCTACAAATATTCATAGAATATATAAATTTTTAATACTGAAAATTTCGAGATTTTCTAAATCATATTTATGAATCTCATAATATATTAATAATTAAATCACAAAAGTTGAAATGAATAGAACAGGAATTTTCTGTTAACCAAGAATTTTTCGTAAATAAATCGTAAATATTTCCAAAAATATGCCTAATAAAATACATTCAACATATTACAATAAAAAATATAAATATTTTTTCTGTTGTTTAAAAATAATTTTTTCTCTCTTAACAATGTGAAAATAACTATTAATTCGTCATGCAAGAAAATTTTAATAGAATCTATTTGAATGATATTATTTACTTGATAAAACGAGATTATCTCTTGTTCATAGATTAAATTCTTTTGTCTACTCACGCAACATTTTGTTCACACTGTAACGCACAGACGTCCGATGTTCTTCACAAACGAAGGAGGAATGTATTACTAAAAATGATAAAAATTGATGCGTATAAATCGATTAGATGACTAGTATACTTGAAACGCAACTCACTGTTTGATGACGGCCACGTCCGAAGAATGCGGTTGTGACCACTTGTTTGTTTGACCGGTCTCTTGTCTGACGTCTTTTTTGATTGCTTTTTTTAACTTTAAAAATGTGGTGGGTTTTACATTTTAAATGTGTTTACGATTGGTACAAAAAGACGGCAACATCGTTAAAAAAAATCGCACATTTATTACCGTGATTATTTCACGATGTTGCCATCTTTTTGCGAACAATTATTTTTTATTTAAACAATACCTTTCGAATTTATAAGGAATTTATGAGATTCATGTTTAGCCTTGTAGAAGAAAAAAAACCCAAACTGTCGAAGGTCACCGCTAGAGAGTATAAACTCCTTCTTCTAAAAGTAGAACTCAATTTCAGCGATATCTGGTTTCAGCATCCATTGATGTAAGAATTAAAATTTGTTTCATGACGAATAGTGAAAATTTACGCTAAATCAAAATACATATTAATAACGTTTATTTTACATATGTTGAAATATGTAATTAATGTAAGATATTCTATCATGAATAGTCAGCTGATGGCTTTATAGCAAACAATCGCGTAGACACAAACCTAACCTAACTATGGCAGAATTTTTACATCAGATGGTATAGAAGCGATCTATTTTATCAGCAGCGGTAAATAGTGCGATTTTGTCAAAAGATTCAAAGAACTGCCGGTGGATCTAGATGGCGTCTGTGGACATGAATTAGCTTGCGTTTCCATATACTGATGCGAAATATCGGTGCTGCCGGCAAATCAACAAGCTACCACCTTTCATTCGCGTGAGTTGTTGGTTGGTTTGCTGCGTATCAGTTCGTCTTGGACGACTACTCGACTAACTGTTCGACGGTTGTATTGTTATGTTTAAGTTTTCGCTCATATTCGGCTGATAGTGTCTCCTCTATCCACAAGCGCACGCGAAAAGTGGGTCAGTGTTCTTTTGTGGCGATTTGTGAAGTTGGATATGCCTGCGGATTCAGATAATACCTCCGCGTAACATGGTAAGTGTCAATGATCCAGAGTGATGTGTATCCGCGGCACAGTGACGCGCCCCGAAATTTTCGGGGGCTCACGCGAGGCTGCGTGTGAAGGAGTGTTTTGTACATACGTATTGCGATAGATTTCCGACTGTCTGGATGAGATGCGCAGCAATATTGGGCGGATTAATCAAGATTCTCGCACAATACGCAGGACGAGTCGAGCAAAAATAGGAAATCTGTTCGGGTATTGTGTCGCTTCAGTAAATATATAATAGGGTTAGCAAATTTGCGAAACTTACGTAGATATATCTTTTTTGCCTTTCCATAATTTGGAGACGAATATGTTTTTGCTGAAAAGAATCACTTTAGTCTTTGTATTATTACGAAAGCTGACAGATTTTGACAAAATGGAATACAAAAAATCTTATTTGATTGATATATGTGTATATATCTGTAGGAATGGAATTGTATAGATAGATACTATATTTATTTATTATGAATATAGACGCGAAAATGATTCATACATATTATATAGCATAGGCATTAGCTCACCTTAACTAACCTTAGCTAACCTTAATTATCTTGCAGTTCTAACACTTGGCTCGTTTGTTTAAATCAAATGCCCTTTTAAAATCTCAAAGATATACATATTATGTCCAATAAATTCTTCATTATAATTGCTGCTAGATTGTTAATGCAAGTTTTTATAGAAAGATGGGCTATTAAAGATCAGATGACTTTGACATAATTACGAAACACTTGCTCTTTCTGGTATTTCTGGTTTTTTTGGATTTCACTGAGATACTTTGATGATTTGCCAACCATTTTCCAAAATAGATCACTTGTGAAATATTTATTTAGTCACGGCATAAAGTTCTTGTAGCAAATTTTTGTGTCTGATTTTCTTATCTGCAGATTTTACTTTTTTCTTCTCGAAGAAATTAGTTTTAATCAGCGAAACATGAAACATTTATTTGCAATATATTGCTTTATATTAAAGAATTTCTATATAATTTTATATAACGATAAAGTGTACATATATGGTATATTACATTCGTCAAAATATTATTGTAGTGTGTCTAGTTGACAGTTGACAGTTCGACAATGGTATTTTCTTGTATCTGATATTAATTTGTCTCATGCTAAAGTGACATAATCCTCTTTAATGTTTGTTTTTTTATTTATTTTTTTTTTTTTCAATAGAAAAGAAGTGCACAGGAAGTTTCTCATATGGAAGTAATAGATTTTCTATAATCGAGTAGTCAAGCTGGAAAGATCACATATGAGATATCAGGCCGATATAAAACATCAATGGGTAATAAAAATAAACTCTCGACGTATAATAATGAAATATCAATGGATTCTGTGCACATGCTACAAAATCATTGTTTTTACTGAGATAAATATCGTTTACAAAATATTTTGAGAAAGTCTACCAAATAAATATCAGATTTCGAACGCAAGAATATCTCTCGCGTCGAATTTGCAAAATAATTCGCGAGCATTCAACGAAGCTTAAATAATTGGGCTTAAATGTTTTTAGCGAACAAGTGTAACTTTTTACATAACAGCTTTTTAATAAACATTGTGTTGTTCAGTTTAAAAGATATATAAAATTGAAGACATATGGAAAGAAAGATATATATTGAATTAAAGTTAAAAATATGTCATGTACAGCATTACACGCATATTGCGCGGATACATACACACACATACGACACACGTGCGCGTGTGTAGAGCCAATTTATCAAAGTACAACGAACGCGTCACGATTTTATGAAAGATTGTATTTTATATACGATAAAATTTTATGATTTTTATTATAAACTAAAGAAATAGCGTCAATATTTTTATTTGTTATTAATATTAAGAATTATCTTGAGTAAACTAAGTTGAGGTACACCTTTAAAGCTCTTATGAAGCAATATTCACACTTCGGGTGGAGCATATCGCTAATCTAATCGAGAACAAGATATTTCTGCCTCGTTTATTTTATGCGCTTACAAGGTCTTTATACCTGAATGTCTCAATTTGCTTCAGAAGTATTTCTTCAATTCTGTCGATATTATAAGAGAATCAGTTGAAATCTTTTCTTCGATTTTAATGTAGAACGCTTTCGTTAAAGTCTGTTAAAAGTTCTTAATTGGTTTTACAATTGTGTACAATTTAAATTGATCACAAGTTGATTAAAAAACATTTCAAGATTTTCGACATATTTAGAGAAGACACGAATGCATGAAGCGTTGCAAAAGTTTTGACATTATTAGGGTTTATTTTTTTATTTGCATTATATTTAAGTATTCATAAATTATATAAAATTGACTTTTTTTAACTCGAAGATATTACACTTTAAACATACGTGTGATTTTCTAGCAAATAAGCGTTCTTTATTTCTTTCGGAGTGAATCAATATGAATCGTGCAATGCCCTCCATCGCCAGTAAGCCGATTACTAAGCAATTATTTCGAGTCAGCGCGTTAAGAGTATTAATTATATTTCTGTATTAACACAACTTCTAACATGTCAGTGGTACGTTTTCATTTTTTTAATGCTGCATATTATTAAAAAACAGCGGATGATATAAGAGGACGTAACTTTCGAAACATCTTCGTGGAAGCCGATGCGATTTTTGAAGGATTTATCGGCGAGCGGTGGTTCGATAGCTGTTTCGGTCGCGCGGCTCCCCAAAATGTATATCACAGGCAGAAGCATCGCGTAAATGAAATCATACATATAAATGTGCACACGAGTCCCGTCCCGGCTCTCTCTCTCTCTCT